TTCTTACCGTGGCTCTCCACTAGTTTTCTGTATTCTATTTTCTTGGATATTTTACGAAGCAGATCCTCCCAATCCAGTTAGCCACCAAGCTAGGTTGGTGTTACCGGTCCTCCCTGTGGAACAGATTTATGCGCACCCCACTCGATCTGCATCTTTTGATCATAGTTTCCTTTCTGGATCAAGCTTTAGCTGGTATGACCGTCAAAAGCTGTACTACTTCACCTACTCAGGATTTCTACCATGCAGGTCCCCTGCCTGTAGATCCTATCAAGATTTATTCATGTAACGTTATGTCTCGCCAAATGCCCCATCACACTTCCAATATTCGGATAATATTGGTGCAATGTGATTTACAGGGTTAAAACCCCAGAAACGAACAGGGTTTACCGTAAGTTGGATACAAAGATCCAAGTAATTATTCAAATTCGTCGACAGTAGGATTTGAACCCCAGACCTCTTGCATAGTGGTTTGACAACCTAACCACTACACTAAGATCACCAGACCTCATATAAACTAATTTATATTAGCTAAATAATTGTCATTTTATTATAATTTCAGACTCACTCAGCTACCTTAGATACTCAAGTACAATCAGTCGCAAAAGTAAATTCTCCTCCTATTAGAGCAGTTTGCCTAAGCAAATTTATACTCTAATAATCTACAGAAAGCTCTTTTGTGCCTTTTCAAGATTCTTTAATTATTTTTAAAACTTAACTAGCTTTCTTTTATTCTATTCTCAATTCATATTTGAACCTTAGCTTTAGCTAGATTCTGAATTCTTTCTTCTTTACTTTTGCTTATCTCTTTATAGTTGATCCTGTTTAGATTCTAGTTTTCTTTATTCGCTATATTTTTTTTCTTCAGTTTATCAGGCTTTTACTTTGTTTTTTTTTTTTTTTTAAATTTGATATTGTTTATTTCTTTTTACTTTAGCATAACCTCATAGCAGAATTTTCACAGCTTTTTAAAAAAATTAGACCAGAATAGCTCTAAGAAACAATCTATTGCTTTGTTAGTTTTGAAGCTAGATTCTAAGATACCCTTGACTTCTGTTATAAGATGATTACTGGTTAAGCCTTAGATATATAATTTCCTTTTGCTATATATCTCAGCTACATCATGACCTATAAATACTTCTTTTAGAGTTTAATCAGAGATAGATATTTTCTATTTATTATCAAATCTTAAACTAAGCTCTTCTATAATAAAACGCTTGATTCTCTTTCAAATTTATTAATAGATCTGGTATTCTGCAATATGTTCTAAAGATTCTTCTTTTGTAAAATATACTACACAAGTTTTATTCTTATATAGACTAGGATTTCATTGAAAACAAATATTTTTTGTTGGTAATAACTTGTTAAGATACTTTATTCTGAAGATTAGAGCTCTGCTTTTTTGGATACTAGTATATTTTTTCTCTTAAAACTTCTTTAGCAAGCTTCATGTATTTCTCTAGTTCAAATCTTTATTGCTTTGTGAGCTTGATCTTTGATCTAGTATTAGTTTAATATTACTCAGATCTGCTTATTTATATTCATATAATATTGATATAATTATATTAATAAAGGATCTGAGAGGACTGTCTATTAACTTGCTCTTCCAAGTTAGTACTACTCTTATACTACTTGCTGTTATATCCTGTACTTCTAGTACTAGGTTAGATAAAAGACCTTCTTTCACTAACTCATCAGCTTTATCATTTTAATAATTCATACTATAGCTTTTGACTTTAATTAGCTTCAAATCAATGTTTTTAGTTTTGTAGTAGTCTAATATTTAGTTAATTAAACTACAGTTCTTAGTTTTGAATATACTTCTTATATTTAGTTAGCTCTTGGATCTTTGAATTTCCTTTATTGCTATATTACTATTAGAGTATATTTTTATTTTTATATTAGTAGAAGCTGCTAGTACTGCTATCTATATTGCACCTAGTTTAGCTCAAGTTAAGGAAAGCCATTTAGCTATTTTATTTTTAAAACTAATACTATCTTCTCTACTATCATTGCTAGCTATAACTCATCCTATACCTAGCTTTTTCCCTTTTCTATTTCCTTCATGCTCTACTACTAATGATCTATCTATATAATATCTAATTTCTTTTAACCTTTTTGCAATATCTACTAATTTACTTTGTATCTTCTTATTGCTAATTACCTTTTGAATTACTGCTTCTTCTATGCTTCTACTTTTATTTCTACTTCTTTTTCTTGTTTCGCTTTTTTTTTATATAAGAGCTTCTTATATTCTGTATAGACTAATATAAGTATTTTAGTTGATATCATATTTTCTTTGCACAATACTCTTTTCAAGACTTGATACTATATCTTTAACTTTTGTCTTATAATACAGCTTTTATTATTTTGTTTTCTGTAAATACAACTTTCATACTTTCTAGCTAATATTTCATCTAAGCTTTTATTCACTTCAATTTGCTAGTACTTAGTTAAGAAATATTTGGTTTTCTTTTTTATAACTTTACTAATTTCAAAGTCTCTATCCTTTTTAAAAATAATTCACACTTTTTTTTTTTTTATTTGTAGATATTATAAGCCTATTACATCTTATTACATTTTGGTTTAGTTTTACTATATGATATTTTTCCTTTAGTAACCTTAATAATATGCAATCTATGATTTTTTTCTCTATATGCTTGAACTAGTATAGTTTATAACTTCTCCCTTTACAGTCTCTAATATGTTTTACTTATTGCTATATTAGAAGTCTATTACTACTACTCGTTATAAGCTATTTAAGTATAAAAATACTCATATTCTTATTTTTTCTGTATCTGTTAATCTTCTTCTTGTTTAGTAGACTTGAGATACTTGTATCTGATATTTTTAGATTTTCTTCATAAAAGCTATTTTCTTAAAAGCTAAAGTCTAGTTTTTTCTTTTTATATATTATCTTGTATACTAAATTAAACTTGAGTTTTATATAATCTAGTTTACTAAAATTACTAAGAAAATTATCTATGCTCATACATCTACTATGATTTTTTATTAGATTAGTTTTCTATGTATTCAAATATTTTATGAGACAGATCCTTCAAATCTAATTAGCTATCAAGTCAGGTTAATGTTACTGCTAATATAAATTACTAGGCTATATTATATAATAACTTACTAATATCTACTTGATTTGTATCTTTTATATACAGACTTCTTTTTTGAATTAAACATTAACTAGTATAACTATTAAAATCTATACAACTTTATCTAATTTAGGATTTCTACTATGCAGATCTTTTGTTTATAGATCTTATTAAAAATTATTTATACAACATAACTCAAATATTGCATCATACTTCTAATATCTAATTGATATTAGTGTAATATAATTTATAGAGTTACAACTACCAAAAATAAACAGGGTTTACTATAAGTTAGATACAATGTTCTAAGTAATTATTTAAACTTATCGACAATAAGATTTGAATACCAAACCTCTTATATGGTAGTCCAGCAACTTAACTACTATACTAAGATCATCAGACTTTAGATATGAGATTATTAATAATAAACTTGTTATTTTGCTTAACACAATTAAGCTTAGTATATTAAAAATGATATAATAATATTATTAATTCTTTTATTTATTAAGTATTATTATAATTTATTTTACGTATTTAAAAATATCTGATCATGGATTAAAAAATCACAATTTATATAAATTTAAAATTTTTAATTCAAACTAAAGTATGGTTTCTATTTATATTTTACTTTAATAATTTATTAAGATATTTTAACTACTGAAGATTAACAACTTATTAAAATTGAATTGATCGATTAATACTTTATTATTATATTAAAAAAATTTAGATTTCAATTCAAAACCTTTATATAAATAGCTCTTTTTAACTATATAATATAATATTCTATATTGATACTAAATAAACAATATTTTACTAATCTAATAATCAGTCTATCCAATCCAACTCTAAATAGTCTTATTCGGTCTTAAGCCATGGTTTGGTCCAGTCATTTTAAAAGACCGCTAGTTTTTAGACTGAACTAAACCGGATGGATCGATTAACAGCCCTAGTCTTACTATGAAGGTTGGAGGCACGAAAAAATTTTTGGGCATACCTAGGAAGGCATGCCTTTGTCGAGAGCATGCCTCTCTGTGCCTGGGCATGCCCTCTCTAGATATCATAATTGATTATGTCAAATCAACTATGATAAATTGACCAATCAAATCAACGAAACTTCATATATAAGGTTGTTCTATATAAAAGAGTAGGGGCATGCCTTTTAGCCAAAGGGCATACCCTAGGCATGCCTCCCTGGGCATGCCCCTGAGGCATGCCTTGGGACACCGTGCCCCCAACCCTAGGCTAGGGTACTCCAGTTACTATTAGGCAGGTAATTACTGTAAATCTCAAAATATGATTGGCTGTCCCGAAGCCACCTTTTGCTGGAGGCCCTCATATACTATATTTTGATTTTTTTTTAAACTGTTTTATAATCTTTGCTAATAATAATAAAAATAAATAGCATATACAGTACCTATAATATAATAAATTAAATTTTTATGTACATAAAATACAGTAAATTATGAATACTAGAAACCAAATTCTGATTTAATTCTATCAAGAATCACACATTTTTCAACCTTTTGTCTCAATTTACAGAACCACAAAGTCTTTTTAGTAGATAAATTATTCGATCAAGTACTAAAATTTACATTTTAAATTACTTTTTTATCTATAAATAATGATCATTTTCCATAAACATTAACATCCATTGTTGGAATCCAACGATATGCTGAAATTGGCGTCAGTTGGGGGACTGTCATGACGTTATTATTCTGCTTTTTGGATTTGGATTTCATTATTGCACCTGATGATCCACCTAGTTTTGATGTTGAATTGTCTCGTAATGGCGGAGACTTCGGTCGTAGATTTTCAATTTCTAACGAAAAAATCATCACATTTTAGAGAGATCGCTTAATGAATAAACCTTTTAAACCTAATAATAATACCTGTTGTTGAACCAAGTAAATATCCACTAGGTTCGAAATATTTCGCATATCTAGTTGCATCAAAATTCGAACTTGATAAACCAGTCCCGATAGTCAACCAACCTGGTCGAATATTATGATCCTATAAATAACATTAATGTTAATATAATTTTATTAAAGTGAAATTTGTGTATAAAAGATACCTCTCCAAATAATTCAAGCCTTCTACGTCCCAGGCAAAAATGTTCTATAATGTGATATAATTCTTCTGGTTTAGCTGTGCCTACTTGGAAAAATGGGAAATGGGGCAAGTGATTATGTGTAAGCTATGTAAGTACCGCTCGAAACGATAATAAAGCTTGATGACCAACTCCCGAAAGGTGGTTCTTCTGATATAATGACATCCGTATCCACATTGCAATGAATAAAATGACCATCTGTGCTGCGTCGAACTGTACCCCTGATACCCATTATACAATGCTCTTTCGTGCGTTGGAAAATTGATCTAGGTTCAATGAAACGACTTCCCTAATTATTGAGATAAATGTTTAAAATATATTTTTTATCCTGATGAATCACTAAGAGTCGCATTATTTTACCTCCCATTTCTTGTTAGTTTTAATCCATACAATATCCTCACATCTGCGATATCCCCATTTAAGAAGTAACTGCCGACCACGGTCGAGTCCATCTGAATCTCCAGACCAAATGAAAATAAATGAAGGATTTGCTGCTACGTCTTCAATTTTAAGATTGGCGTACGATGAGTTAAGTTATATTAAAATAGGAATATGTGTATGTAAATTGAAAATGATTAACTATCAAACAAGGATATAATTTCATCGTAAGTCCAATAATCAGGGTTTGTACCCGCGACCAGCGGTGACTTTCTACAGTATCTAAAATGTCAAATTGAAATTCTGTAAAGCAATAAAGACAAATCTGATCAAAAATGCATAGATTACAAAAAATGATATCAACTCTTCCAAAGGTGGATCAATCAAAATAACATCGAATTTAATTCCAAGAGATTTGAGGTCAAATGTTCGAAGATCAGCCTTCAAATAAGTTGGTGGTGTCGCCATACTTTTAACTAAGGAGTCCTTCATTTTTGTCAGTTCTTTAAGTTTAGGATATCTATATAACATACATCAGAAATTATATCATTAAATAATGTAATGGAATTTTTTTTCATAGATGTATAAACGAGTTATAACTTACTCGTCGAAACGTTGAGATAATTCAGTATCTCGAATGAAATTTTGGGGACGACGTCCAGAATCAACAAAGTACTGGCAATAATCATTTCTAATTGTTTTTTCACTTTCTTGACCTGACGTTTGTTTTTCTCCTTGATACTGTTGTTGCCGATGTTCTACCTTGTTTACTGATGGTTTTTTGCTGTTTTCAGAAGCTTTTATATTATCTGAAGGATTTTTTTTTTTAAATTCTTTTACAGAGTTCAATTGTAATTTACGACGTTTTTGGCGTTCACGAAGAACTTTAGTGAGCCGATTATGAGATTCCCTGAAGGATTGAATTTGTTCTTCAATACTTGAATTCATAATTTTGTATTAACGAATTTTAAAATTCAATATTTGACAATCATTTAAAGTTTTATGCAGATTACGCAAATCAGGAGTTACTTATAAATAAATAATTTGGAGTAAAAAAAAAAAAAAAAAAAAAAGTCCATACGT